AGGCAAGACCACTCTTACTCACAAACCTGAGCACCTGATGCTGAAGAGAGTTGCAGATGGCTGAAGGTGATAAAGTCACTGAAGTTGGGCAGTGGAGCAAGACCAAAGAACAGTGGATCAATAAAGAACTTTCAATGCAGGCCTCGGTCGGTTGAATGGTGGGTGAAAGCGCATGAAGCACAAGCAGCACTCTACCTAGCAGATGACATCAGGGCTCAGCTCCCTCACCCTGGCATATGTGTAAGAATTTACTACATTCCTGTGTCCCTCAATGGATGGCAAATAAAAAAATATATACTGTATGCTGACCTAGACAGATCTCACAAGCTTTTAAATTTAAGAGATAGGAGAGCTGCACAAAAGATATACCAGCCTTTAAAAGGAACATTGCTGAACCCTTCCTCCTTTTCATTCCTTGATCCAAGGGAATGCATGGTAAAGATTGGAAAGGGCAACTCTAGGGGCATTATTGAGCTGTTCATGTCAGAAGCCCTAGTTATTACATACAGAAAATGTCAGCTTGACATGGGGCTGAAAATTCCTTCTTCTCTGTAATATATGGTATGTACAATATATACTATCTGTCCCTTTGGCAATTTGTAAGCTACAGTGGACAGAATGATGTCTCCACTCCCATCATTTTAAGGGAAACCATTGCCTGTCTATAGCCACCCCAAGTGATTGCTACCATCACTAAACATTTTGCCACACTTTTGATTTTTTTTTTTTTTAAGAAACCCAAACCTAGAGCTGCCACTGAAATTCCTCCTTTTCTTCTTTCTGAATGCTCACATTCTGTTACTGTGATACATGCCTGTCAGGTACGTCAGTGACCACTTTTATGACCTAGAATTGGATAAAAGGCATTAGCGGATATTAGATTGTTGATTGTAGATTGCACTGCTTTCCACTTGTCTTCCCAGTGTCAGGCCATGGCATATAAGGTAGTTAAATTGTTATAAAGTGTAGCCTGGCCAGTCCAGCCAGATCTCAGGGAAGGTTGAGTAGCCCAAATCGTGCAATACAATGATCCCGCACTGTCCTACCAGCATTCCCAAGGATCTTGTTGGCAGCAGGTAGACATCTTTCCCAAATTACAGGGAGTGGAGAGTATATTATGTTTTCCACTCCACGGGTTCTTTTGTGCACCTTTATCTTGTATTTACAGAAGAGAGAGGTGGGACATTTAAATAAGCAGACCTTGCCCGTAGATATCTCTCATTGAGCTTCACGTGCTGAACGAGAGTGGATGAGAAAATCTGCCCTGCGGGCTATTTTATTTAGAAAACTGGCACCCGTGGCTGAATGTATACTGGAACACTGGCTGTATCTGATTGAATGCAGTCACGTCATCAAATTGCAGCCCATTCAGCCGAACTTTAACCTGTGTATAGCTACATTTACAACAGTGTGTAGCACAATGATGATCTTGTGAGAGTGCAGTAACCAGTAGCAACTAGATTTCAGATTACTGTAGGTAACTCCATTAACAGATGATATCCAATTGGCTTTTATGGATTGTTGCATGTTACCAGACTTAGTTGCTATTTGCACTGCCATGTTGACTGAAGCTGGTATCTGTCAAAATGGAAACTGTTAAAAAGGAGAACTATGGGGTCAGTGTTTTTCCCCATAGTTTTCCTTAGGGTAACGGGAGGACACAAACTAGCGTCCTCCCGTTACCCTAAGCTCAGTATACCGCGAGCTACAGCTCGCGGTATACTGAGATGCCGCAGCCGGAGCGGATCCAGACCTGGACGTCGGGATCCGCCCAGCTGCGTGAGTGACAGCTGGCTCTGCCTATCCAGAGGCAGAGCCAGCTGTACTCGCCCCCTCCCCCGTCCGTTCTGCCAGTCAGCGCTGGCAGATGGGAGCGTGGAGAGGGGAATCCAGCCCCTCCCACTGCAGAGAGCAGTGACAGGATCGAGAGGTGAGCGAACCTGGTATGTGTTCGCTCACTTCCCAATCTACTAAGCCGACCTGTGACAGTCTCATTGTCACAGGTCGGCTAGAACTATGAGGTGAGTGGAAATCACTCATCTCATAGTTCTCCTTTAAAGTTGAACTCTGGGACAAGCAAATATTGTTTAAATACAAGAGGCATGTGTATTCTTATTTGAATCTTGGTGAGCTTTGTGCAATTCTTCCAGATCTGTACAGTGATCTATTATGAGACTGTCTCTGTGCAGGAGGACTGGTCTTGTCTCCACCACTTCCGGTAGTTTTCTGCAGGCAGCCTGTAGTGTGGCTGCTGGGTCCCTCTCACAGCTCTTCTCCAGGTATGTGCAATACAGTGACAATGTCACCACTATTTTTACAAGGTAAAGGCGTTTTGTGCACACAATATGGACTTAAAGCCTTTGTGGCTATTGAGGTATATATTTGAATGGCAGTTTTTGTGCACAGCTTCAGTACAATTATTACCCAAAATATCACCTTTACAAGAGAGCAAATAGTATTAGGTGGTACTGTAACTTCAGTTTTATTATCCCTGCCCACCAAAGTGCATGTCCAAACACCAGGGCTAGATTTCCATTTTGGGCGCCTGCAGACACGAATAGAAATCTGGTTAGCCTGAGGCGGCACCCTTACCTGCTGCAGGACCTGCCAGCTTTCATATATGCAAAGTAGGACCCCTGTGTAGTGTAAGGCTGCCCTAAAACGTCTGTCCGCATTAGACAGGCATTTTACAGGGCAGCTTGAAGCAGCGCCGGAGTCCTTCCTCTGCATTTGCAGAAGCTGGCAGTTCCTGTAAGGCACCCCTGGTCTTGGAGCAGGAGGGTGCATTTTGTGCAGAATGTACCCTCCTTGCTATTGCTGGTGCTGTATCATCAGACAGAGTAGGTACCTGCACGGCACCCCTCTATGGAGGGCACTTGTCTACTCTGCCGAATGGTAAATCTGGCCCTGCCAAATAAAACTATAACAGAGTCCATGAGGCAGTGCTCTTTGACTTAATCTATTGACAGGTCTTGCCACTGATGTTTTGGAGGCTGGGTAAGAAGGAATGCTTATGCTACCCAGTCAGTATTTGCATAGGTAGATTAGGGGACTATAGGAGCAGTGTGCACATGTTGCTTCTTACTTTACTTTTGTCCAAGTATAAGTTTGCTTTACAGAACATTTCTAAAATATATATTAATTGTTTATAGCTGCGTGCCCAGATTTCCACTCTTTTATATTGTAATGTAGCATACCCAAGGGCCAAGAAGATTCTGCGAAAGTAAGAAAATTATAATTCTGCATATAAAGAGAATCCACCTCTGCATGTTCTGAATTATTTATTGAATACTGTAGTAAATTACAAAAACCAAAGCGACAAAACGAACTTACAGATATAAATTATGCATAGGATTTACACGTGTACCCAAATGGATTTCTCCGACACAAAAATATACAGACGTGCTCGCAAATATGTAATTTAACAACACATAACATTTACAATGCATTGAACAGATAAAAAGGCAGTGGAAAGACCGATGGTGTACAAGATCGCTAAACACATACAAATTTAGTACAATAGAAGAAGTATAGAGCATTTCTAGGTTTCCTATAAAAAGAAGTCTTTAGATACAGTCTATATTATTAAAAATAGTATCATCTAGTAAGTAAAGGTCAATAGAAAAATAAATATGTGTTAAAGCAAAAGAAACCCACAGTGGATTCAAGGACTTGGTCGGAAACTGTATTTGGAGCATATCGCTACGTTTCCATAGACACCAAAGTCACAATGGGGTGCTAATTGAACGTTCCTGACGCTGCTGAGCCCTCCTGTAGTCTAGGCACATATCACCCCTTAGGGAGGCTGCATTAAAATAAATATGGACAGAAGCCTGTGGCCCTATTTATCTATATACCGCTCCCCTTAATGTCACCCCCCACCTGACAGAGTACCAGTCATGTGATCTGGCATCTACAATTTAACACAGGACCTAGTTTGCTTGAACATCCAGCTTCTTTGTATACAAGCCCGAACTTATAGAATTCTTTAGTATCTCATTTGATATGATAACTAAAGTAAGTGCCCATGTTCTATTGCAAATATGCTTATAGCAAGACTTTGTACCTGCAGTCATATCCTGTGACTTGTGTACTTTAGCCAGGTACACGGCACACTACAAAAGCCAAATGGCAGAAAGGCAAGCTTAACCACTCAAACTGTGGCTCTCAAACTGTTTTCACCAAATCCCTACCTGGTTGTCACAGGCAGCACACCCAGGTATCCCCCAAGGAAATGGCTTTCTATTACATGAGATTTACAGATTAGAAGTCGTAACACAACTATTTGAAGTACAATATTAGAAATAAAAACACAAGTAGCTGTGGAATAACTTTCATGCTGACTTTTGAATCTAATTAGCATGTAAAAGGAATATTTCCATTGTGTGGGACCCTTCAACCTGTAAAAAAAAAAAAAAAAAGTTCTCACTGTGTAGGCTCCCCCCCACCCATTGTGTGTGAAGAAGGAAAGCTGTCATTGCACCATCAGTAAAGTTAGGACGTTATGGTCTTGCCTTATATATTGAGGAAATCTGGGCCAGATGGACTCACCACTCAGTAAATTAAGCCAAGTACAGAAGCCACTAGTAAGGTCTCACTCGTCTAAATAACAGAACGCAAAATTAGAGAAGCAGCACAATAGACCATCTAAGACTGGCACCACAGCACATTCTCTCTAAT